GTGGTGGTGAGTGTGAGGAGGCCTCTGGGGCTACGGGAGGCTGGGGGCATGAATGCGTGACTAAGAGGGTGCAGAAGCATGGGGACTGGAACCTGGACAGCAAGAGGGCAAGGGGATTTTAGTAAGTTGAGGAAGAGGCAGGCTGCTGGAGCCTACGAAGCAGGGCATGGAGGCTGGGGGGAGGTGGGAGGTGCTGCTGAGGGGACAGGGGCCAGCCAGAAGGATGGGCTGAGGAGGCAGACTTGGCAGGGACAGAGGAGAGACTCAAACGCCATTGCCCATGCTGTTTTCCGTACACTAGGCCGCACTGTGGTTGACGACCCCCAAGGCCTGTTCAGGAGACACAGGGAAGAGGAGCTGGAAGACAGGAAGAAGGTGTACAGGTTCGCCCCACTCCCCTGACCTCACAGTGAGCCTGTGACTCTTTCGGTGTACCGATGTCTGATTTCATGTTTTCCTTGCAGGTGGGGTAACTGGAAGGATGGGTTAATCCTGAATGTGGCGGGGGCATGCATAAATGACCTCCCTGTAGACGAGCGATTTCTGGAGGACAAGAGAATTGACTTTGAGGCATCTCTGGCCAAGGGGTAAGGAGCAGGGATCTGGGGGAGAGTAGAAACCCTGGTCTAGTGGATGCCTGTGGGTTTATGGACTGCACTTGACTGGACCAACACTGGATAGGTGCCTGTGGCTGTGATGTCTGATTGTATGATTCACTCTCAAACACTTTGCCCCATCCTTCCTGAAGGCTGGCAGAACTCGCTATCAAAGATAGTTTAAATATCTTGGCGAACTGGAATAATGTGGATGACTTCAACAGGATTTTCTGGTGTGGCCCAAGCAAGCTGGCTGGTGAGTACCCCTTACCTCCCAGTACCTCCCCGAGCACCCTTACCTCCAGACTCTTCTCTATCCTGGGGAATTGAGAGAACCAGGGCTGGGAGACTGGGTCCCTATGGTAGGCTGGGCCAAGTGGGGATGGTTTGGAGGGCATTGGGAGGGCAGGAGCTTCGATCCCCCAGTGTGCTCATCCCCTGCATCCCCAGTGCAGGTGCGGGACTCCTGGAAGGAGGATGCCTTATTTGGGTACCAGTTTCTCAATGGTGCCAACCCCATGCTGCTGAGACGCTCCTGTCACCTTCCCGACCGCCTAGTGTTTCCTCCAGGGATGGAGGAACTGCGGGCCCAGCTGGAGAATGAACTCAGGGTATGGACACCAGAGCTCCAAGGAGTCGAACAGTGAAAGGGGGACGAGGTCAGCATGGACTTTGCTGCTGTGGGGTCCGTTATGAGCCTGGCTTTCCCCGTACCAGCAGGAAGGGATTTTGCAGGAGAAGTTCTGAGCAGTCCTGGAGAGGTGCAGCTACAAGGCCTTCCCCCATGAGCATAGCACGCTGTGGAGGGAGGGTGTACCAGGTGGGATGATCGATAGAGACAGAGTCAAATGAGAGATGGGACTAGACCTTGTGCCAGAGATACAGGAGGGTGCCGAGTAAGAGAATCAGGGTCAGATGGGTGTGGTTGTTACTCAGGAGTCAACACGGAACAATTGAGAGGGATAATTCATGGGAAGACAGACCTGGATTCAAATTCTGGCTCTGCCATTTGTAAACAGTGTGACCTCAAGCAAGATAGTCAACATCTATGATTATCTGTATCTTCTTCTGTAGAAGTGGGCTTATTCAAGTATGTAAATATATGCATGTAAGTGTATATATATTATATATATGTTAAATATATTATATATATTTTTGAAGAGAAACAATTAGCATGTTATCTAGTACTTAGCACAAAGTAGCTGATGAGGAAACGTTAGTTCCTTGCTCTTTCTCTTCCTTCAGGAAACCAGGTGGGAAGAAGATACCTTATACTGACAGCATCCCATGCCCCCTCTCTCCATGTAGGCGGGCACACTGTTTGAAGCTGATTACTCTCTACTGGATGGGATCAAGGCCAATGTCATCCTGTGTAGACAGCAGTACCTGGCTGCCCCTCTGGTCATGCTGAAATTGCAGTCTGATGGGAAACTCTTGCCCATGGTCATCCAGGTGAGAGGACCCAGGATTTCTGCTCCCTCATGGTTGACTCTCTCAGCTCACTTCTTCATGAAATATCTCTGAACACTCACTCTCTTTAAAGGCACCATGCTAAGGCCCTGGGGGAGACATTGAAGTAGCAAATGTTCATGGACTTTGATGTTAAGGGCTTTGCAGCATAGTTGGAGACACACACTGGGGAAATCGGAATAGCTCCAGTCTTGAGGATGGAGACATTCTGAGGGGATGGTTGGAGGTGGGGTGGTCATGGGCCTTGGAGAAGGGTCGGGAAATACACAAGCAGGAGTGAGGAAAAGGATCTGTCCCCAGGGGCAAGATTTTTGGTGGACTGGAATATTAGGGAATGTTAGGGACTGGAGGATCGGGAATAACATGAGGTTGGAGGAACTAGACTGATGCAAGGTAGGAGTATAAACATGGGAGGACAGCAAAGGCTTTCTGAAAGATGCTGTGGACACAGTGCAGCAACTGTGTTTCAGATAGACGGGAGAAGGGAGACACTAGAGGCAGGGATTAGAGTACATGCTACAATGACTGTCCAAGGTAGAAAATTGGGCTCAGAGGGGGGAGTTGTGTAGGGGTGGAGTGGCAAGATGGATAGACGTGCAGAGGGAGGTTCAACCAGCCTGAATCAAGGAGGGAAGAAAAGGAGAGTTGGGATGGGCATCTGAATAAACGGGACATATGAAGAGAAAAAGATGCTTAGACAGGCTGTGTCTTGCCACGTTTGAGCTAATGGGAAGACATTCAAATTGTCTAGCAGTCAGCTAAGCACTGGAAACTTAGTGGCTTGTGGGGAGGAGGTGTGAGAGATAGGGGAGAGGCTGAGATTTCTGAGGAGAGTGTGGGAGGAAGGAATTGGAGGCGGGGACTGTAAGGGGAACTGGGAGCAGGAGCAGGCAGTAGAGGAGCAGTTTCTGCAGAAGGCTGAGGGCAGAGCAGTGGGCACTGTGTTAGTGCACTGAGTGAGCAGGAAAAGGAGGGAAAGAAACAGCTGTAGGAGGTCACAGCAGTAAAATTGAGAAAGCTGAGGCCAGCCGGTGGTAGGGTAGTTGAGGTGTTGGACTCCCACATGGCTGACCATGGTTCAAGTCCCGGTCCTGGTGGCTTGCTTTTTCATTTTCGCTCTCTCTATGTCTCTCTCTGGTGAATATGTATGTCCTTTAGTAAACTGAAAAATAATAATAAGTAAAAAGTTAAAATAATTCTTAAAGACGGGACCAGCAGTTGGCATAAATGCTACGTTGCTGGACTCCCTTGTAGTTGACTGTGGTTTGAGTTCTGGATATGGTGGCTTAAACTCATGCCAGGCACATGTGCATGTGTGCCCAAGATCCCGAGAGGA